GTCGTCAGGTTCCGGCGCAAGCCATTGCGTGAAGGGGAGCTGTCTCGTGACCTCTTCTCGGATCCCAAGCTCTCGGATGAGTTGCCAGACGTGGTCGCGGTCCAGGCTCCCCGGGTTGGCCAGCTGCAGGATCCAGATTGCGGCGAACATGTCCCAGTTGTACCTTTGCATGGGCCGACCCTCGAATTGCCTGCGGATTTCGAGGGCGATCCGGCGCTGGACGCCGCGCGCCATGTGTTGGACCGCTTGCTCTGGGACCACGGCGGCGTATCTACCCAACATGCCCCGCGCGATGCGGACTGCATCTTCGTCGGCTCTCACCAGTTCGGCCGGGGGCGGCCTGCATGTATTCACTGCTACCTCGGCGAGCTCAGGAAAGTGCGTGGACCTGGCGGGCCCAGGGAGTGGGTTGAGGGATGCGGAGGTGCGTCTAGGAAGTGGCTGCTGGGAAGGAGCATTGACCCTCAGCCCCGCGGAAGCGGGAGTTGGTGTGGATGCAGGGGCGGAGTCCAGGCGCGCAACGTGAATGGGACCCGCGGCGAGCTGTAGTTTGAGTCTGGCCTGTGGTCTGTCCGCACCTCTCGTGGCTGCCCTGATGTCCGCGTCCGCAGGGGGGAGTATCGTCACCCAGGTGGGGACCGACGTGAAGAAGAAACCGGATTCACCGCTCGCGGTGACCTCCACGGCTCCACCGGCTGCGATTGCAGCGAGCAGGTATTCTCCAGGCTGTAGGACAGTCTCGTAGTCTCGTAGGCCACTCTCCTGAGACACGCTAGGTACCGTGTTGGCCGCACTCCTGCTCATCGCCCTAGCGTTCTCCCGGAGAAAGTCCCCTGTGATGATAGGTGGGGCAGCTCTGGCGTTGGCTGGGCGCGAGGTGCCGTCAGGGCCGGGCCATCCGGGAGCGGCCAAAGCCGGGTTATGGGACGCACAGGGACATACTAATACTATATGTCCTCCTTGGAGGCGCGCGTCCAAACCGAAAATATAGTATACCCATATTGTAGTATATCGTTTCCCGAGCGGAGTGGCCGAAAGCGCCCGCCACGACACATAACCCCTGGGGTTATACTATAAGATGTCTCGGCGCGCGCGTCGGCATTGGGGGGGCGGCGCACATATAGTATATGTATGTTGGCGTGACGACGAGGTTAGTAACTGGGCATTCGCCGAGCCAACCGAGGCAGAGAAGAGCCGAAGCGCGTTGCGTCCAGGGAGCCAGGCGTCCGGGCGCATGCTGCGCGGGCGAATTTCTCCGAGCTGCGCCCCGTGCCTGTCGAACGTGGTGATCTCGAGGACTTGAGGTTGAACGGCAGGTCTGGGGGCTTGCCGGACCGAGATGCTGGCCAGTGCATCCACATGTTCCTGTAGCTCCCTGGGTGCCGCCGCTGCTCTGTGCATGGGGTCCCTGCTGGGTGTGGCAGGGAAGATCCTGACGGTCTGGGCTCCGATCACTATGCAACTGGTGCCCACAAAGGCTGCCGCCATGGCGTCGGCCGCAGCTAGGCGCATGCGGACTTGCGTCATGTATCTGTAGTCAGAGACATCTGGGAACCAGGCGTACACGGTGGAGACCTGCTCGACCGTGCCAGGACCGGCGGTGGCCTCTACGGCTTGCAGGACGCCATCCGGCCGTGTTTGTCCCATGTCCGCAAGGTTCCACCGCAGGTGGAAGCCATCCTCGGGGTCGGAAAGGCGCACGAATGAGGGTCCCCCATCCCAGGGTCCTTCCAGGAGGATGCGGCGCGGTCCTAGCGCCGTGGAGGAGGAGCCGTCTCCAAAGACACGCGGAAGCTCGTCCCGGAGGTGTCTCAAGACAGGGGGTGGCGATCCTTTCTGGAGTGGAGATCAGAAGAAGCCCCGTCCCGCAAATTCCCACTCTGTGCCCCATGGCTCCGGCTGTTGCGGAGGCAACGGAGTGGGCTATGCAGATCGCCCTGGGGGGCACAGGGATGTGCACAGAATCACTTGTCTCGTGGGTTCTCCAGACGCATGCCGTCTGGTGGGCCAGTGTGGTGGTTTGGGCTGCCGCCTGCATGTTATCCAGGGGGGCACGTATGCCGTCTTCACCGCTCCTGGGTCTCGCTGCTCTGCAGCGAAGAACGTGATGGAAGAGCATCTCGAGTCCCTGGTATCGTAATAGTTCGTCCCGGGGGAGTTGCACTCTCGTGGTGACCCAGTCGGCTGCGATCGCTCCGTTGTGGGATCGTCCTAGCTCGCTCTTCCACCTCATGATCTGCGCGACGACACCGTCGTTGCCGCTTTCAAGGGTTAGGATGTGTAGTGCGTCAGAGGTATCCCCGATCCCCCCTCCCCAGTGCACGACTATTGACGGGGGTAGAATCGTGCGCAGCGTCCTGCCCGCTAGGTCGAATTGAGCGGCAAAGAGCTGCTGCATTGGTGGGCTGGGCTTGCCAGTTCGGTAGGGGTGCCCGATCGGGACGAGGTGGGTAATCCTGCTGGCGGCTCGGCATCCCCGCTGCGCGTTTGCCAGTGCCGCGAGCTCGCCCGGATCCGGTCCTCCAGGGGATGGAACTCCCTCGGTGGCCAGGGCGACGAGACAGCATGGGCTACCCGCAACGGAAGCTGCCGTCAGGGCGGCGTCCATCTGCTGAGCGAGGGCGTCTACCAGAAGGATTGTTGGGGCGGCGTTCCCCTGAGGCTGGTTCCTGTGCTCCGTGACTCCTGCTTTGATCTGCTCCCAGGCGTCCGGGCCTGCAAGGGCGAAAGTGACTCCAGTCTCATCCGCTACACGTTCGCCGAGGTACGTGATTCTGGAAATTACCAGATCGGCTGCGATGTCTCTGACGGCCGCGGTGAGCAGTCCCACCGGGAACCGCCCGGGCCCTCTCTTCCTGGGTTCATCCTCTGGGGGGTTCCGTCCCAGAAGAAGGGCCCATCTTCCGAAAGTGATCCGCGGGGCTTGCCGTATCCTATCTGCCCTGTTGGTGGGACCAAGGGGTCGCTGTGGAGGCAGGGTTCCAGGGCTCTGCGAGCTGTCATGAGTGTCATCGGGGTCCATGCCGCTTCCACCGCTTCCCCCGTCAGGTGGGGTTCCGTCCACCTCCATCGGGGCATGACGTACCTCCTGCTAACGTGCACGTGGATTCTGCGCAGGTCTGAGAGCGAGACGTATGTGTGGGGTCGTCGGATGGAGAGTGCTTGTGCTCTGAGGCAGTCCAGATCCGGGGCCAAGTGCCTGAATGCCTCGGCTAACTCTTGCAGGCTCAGGAAGGGCTGCAGTGGGGGTAAAGTCCCATCGCGGAGTTGCAGGAGGTCTGGTGGCACCGCCACCTCGGCAGCGTCGGCGTCTCGGATTCGCCCTGGCAACCTTACGGCGACGCTACCCCTATCGCTGGAGCGGCAAATCGGACAGTTCACTGGGAAGCATCTTCCGTGGGAGTGGGCCTGCGCAGGCTGGCTAACCCTCCACTGTCTAAGGCATTCGGCGTGGTACAAGTGGCCGCAAGGCACCAAGGCTTCCGCAAAACCTAAGATGTCTTCGCTGCAGATCATGCATAGTGGGGCATCAACTTCCAGGTCCCAAGGAGGAACGTCCACGGCGTCCATGCTGTCCGGGGGAAGCCTGGCGTTGTCTCCAGGGGGGTGGCCGAGTTGGGATAGGCCGTCCCCCAGGCTCTCAATGAGGGCCCTGGCGGACACACTAGCGTCGAGGTGCGTCAGACTAGCTCCCTCACTGAGATGGCATATGAGGGCCTGGATTTGTAAGTTGGTGAGTTCGGAGTATGGGGCTAAATCGGCATCCGGGAAGTCTCCCCGGAGGCGGGCCACCAAGTCTTCCGGCGTATGTATTTCGTTCCTAACCATCCAGCGATATAGAACGTCGTAGGGTCGGGAGTCCACTGCCCGCACAGTCAGCACTGGTCTGAGGAGGGGAAAGTAGCGTGGTGCCAGGCAGAGCCACAGGGCTCTAGAGAGTTAAGCGAAGCCACGCGTGCACTAAACGGAGAGGGAGGAAGAGGAGGAGGAAGGAAGACGAGGACGGGGGAAGGACAATGATGATATCTTTCAATGGCAAAGCGGCCACGCGCACCACCCTGAAGGCGCGGGTCCGGCGGGACGCCGCGCCGCCCGCGCGCGCGCCCAGTGGCGCGCGCGCGTTCTGGCACGCCCTGCTGCCGCACGGATCTGGTGCCGAGCGGAGCAGGGTGCACAGGGAGCGAAGCGGGGTGGGTGGGCACCCGAGTCCTGGCTCGAACTCGAGCCAACGACTACGGACCCAAAATGGCTATGGCAAAGCCCCCGCTTCCCTACGCTTAACCTGCAGTCTACCAACATCACAGACTATACAAGTTAAGCGAAGCCACGCGTGCACTAAACGGAGAGGGAGGAAGAGGAGGAGGAAGGAAGACGAGGACGGGGGAAGGACAATGATGATATCTTTCAATGGCAAAGCGGCCACGCGCACCACCCTGAAGGCGCGGGTCCGGCGGGACGCCGCGCCGCCCGCGCGCGCGCCCAGTGGCGCGCGCGCGTTCTGGCACGCCCTGCTGCCGCACGGCCAAAACCAAAAGAACGCAGCCGCGCGCGGGCGAAGGACGCCCGGGCGCGCGACCACTGGCCTGCAAGCCTGAGGCCTTCCTGGAGCGGGCGCCAGGCCGCCCCGGCTGGGCAGCGCCCCGCCGGCGGCGTGCAATGCGCGCCCGAGCTGGCCCCTACGGCCTCGCCCAGGCGTGGGGGGCTAAACGCTCCCCAGGGCCGCGCGCCGCCGGCCCGCCGGCGCGGGATCGCGCCCGCGAAAGGCGCTAGCCGCGCGCGTCGCGCCGGACGCGACATAGAACACGCAGAGGGCGAGCGCGCGCGTGCGAAAGCACACGCGCGAGCTGGAGGTGCAAGCTGGCTGCAGCCCAGAGGACGCCACGTGGCCCGAGCAGCCCGTCGCTCCCCCCGGTCCTCCTCCTTCTAATCCCCGTCGTCGGGCGGTTCCCCTGTGGCGGTCAGCGCGCGGCCCTCGATGCCCCATGCTGCCGGCGAACATGTCAACGTAGGTCGATCCGCTCGTCCCCGTCGTCGCGCCCTTCGGCATCCTCGTCGAGTAGGCCCTCGGCTGCCAGCTGCACCTCGACCAGGCCCTCCCGACACCAGGCGGCGTCGCCAGGCAGCTGGCGCAAACGGCCTCGCCGTCCGCCCCGCGGCCCTCAGCGGGCCCCCGGGTCGACCGTCGCGGGATCCGTAAAAGGCAAGCAACGCACCCGGTATGAGCGAGCAAGTGATGCGAGCAACGTAGCCACTGCTCCCTCGCTCGAGCTCGCCCAGCGGCCGCAAGTACTGCGCCACTGCGTCGTTGAACACTGCAATGCCCGTGAGCACCGGCATGTCGTCGAGCACCCGAGCGCCCTTGCAGCTGCGCACGCCCTTGAACACGAACACGTCGCCGATCAGCGCGCCGTCGAGCGCAGGCACGCTCGTGACCTCGTGCGTGCCCCGGGAACTGAGCGCGCGTGTGAACACGACCACATCCCCGTGGCCCTCGACGAAGAGCAGGTTTGCCGCCGTGACTGCGCCCCTGAGGCTGGTCCCCTCGCGGCCGGGCCCAGCTGGGCCCTGTCTCACGGACGAACATACCTTCGCCGCTGGAACCTCGCCCCAAGGGCTGGTCCCCTCGCGGCCTGGCCCAATATCGGCGTGGCCATCCACCAACAGGCCGCCCGCCGCTGGAACCCCGCCCCATGGGCGTGTCCCTCCGCGGCCGGGCCCGGCAGGGCCATGTCCCGCGGTAGACTGCGGGTTGTCGCAGGCGGCTGCGGATAAGGTAATACAAACGAAGCACGCCCACTGCAAGTACGGCCCCTCCGGGAGTACCATCACGCAGTGGGGAATGCCAAGAACGTCCGGGAACACCGTCGCGCCGTTGGCCACAGGCACGCCCGTGCGCACCTGCATGCCGTCGAGCCTCGGGAAGCTCGTGACCTCGAGCGCGCCCTGGGGCAGGAGCGCGGCCGTGAGCCGGACCACCGTGCGCATCTGCATGCCGTCGAGCCTCGACAAGCTCGTGACCTCGAGCGCGCCCTGGGGCAGGAGCGCGGCCGCGAACCGGACCACGTCCTTGAGCACCGCGCTGTGGAGCAGAGCTTCGCCCCCAAGCGCGCGCGCGTTGTTGAGCACCGGCGCACCTGTGAGGACCCACCTGCCATAGACCAAGGGTGGAACGGCCGCTGGGACTTCGCTCCTTGGGCTGATCCCCTCGCAGCCGGGCCAAGCGGACCCCTGTCCCGCGGCCGACGCTTGCCAGTCGGGTCTGGCCGGGAGGGCGAGCACGACCACGCCATCGAACGCGACCATCAGCAAGATGGGCCCACGCGAGCCAGTGAACGCAAGCGCAAGTAGCCGTACCTCGCGGGGCGGGGTCGCCACGGCGGGCCTCCCGCCCGGTGGCTGCCCGGGGCGGGCCAGCGCGCCACGGCGTTCCAGGGCGCCCACGAGCATCGATGTGACGTCGAGCACCTGGGCATCCCCGGCCTGGAGCACGCCCTTGAGTACGACCACGTTCTCCGACTCTGACTTTGCCGGCGGGCAGTCCAGGCCGACCGCTGGAAACGTAACCCCACCCCCATGCGACTCCAGATAAGATGGTGGGTCTGCCGCGGGGACTTCGCCCATGCGGGCTGCCCCCCTCGCGGTAGGAGCGGTGGCTGCGACCTGCCGGACCTGGGCGGCGTCGGTCTTCCGCGGCATGCCGTGCCCGATCGCGGGGATGCAATGCTCCGCGCCGAAGGCAGTGCGGGCGCTGGCCCCAGCGTAGACGGCCACGTCGATGCCGGCGCCGGTGTTCGTCTCTGCGCTGGTTTTGGCGTCGGCGCAAGCGCCCGGGTCAGCGTCGGCGCCGGCGCTGGCGTCGTCGCTGCTGTCGCTGTCGGCGTAGGCGGTGACATTGGCACCGACGTCGGCGCTGGCGTCGGCGGTGGCGTAGGTGGAGTCGCCCTCGCGGCAGTCCTCGCAGCTCGGCAGGCGCGGAGAGACCCGCAACGGTGGCGGCGTGGGCTGCTGCGGCGCCCTGGCTGGGCAAGCCCCGTCGGTAGCGTGCGGCACGCGCCCGAGCTGGCCCCCACGGCCTCGCTCAGGCAGGGGGCAGACGCACCCCGACCGCACGGCGCCGGCCCGCCGGCGCGGAGCCGCACCCGCGAAGGGCCCGCGACGCGCGCGTCGCGCTAAGCGCGTCCGAAAGTCGGGCGGGCAGCGCGCGCGCGCGAGAATGCCCGCGTGAGCGGCACGGAGCCTGCGGGGCCAAACGCGCGCGCGCGGAAGCGTGGTGCCGGTGAGCCAGTCCAGATCGCCCGTGCTGGCTACGGCGCCAAAGTCGGAGCTGGCGGCGGCGCTAGCGTCGGTGCTGGCCGCGGCGTTCGCGGTCGCGAAGGCGGCAGCGCCTGCCTCGGCGTCGGCGCGGGCGTCGGCGCTGGCGCTGAGGTTGGCGCGGGCCGCGATGCTGAAGCCGGCCTTGGCGCTGGCGTCGATGCTGGTGCCGAGTCCCACGTCGAAGATCCTGGCGCCAGGCCTGGACCAGTCCACGGCCCAGGCCTCGCCGGCCTCTGTGCGGGCGATGGGGAAAGCGTCGGTGCTGGCACCTGCACCGGCAGCCGAGAAGGCGACGGCGCCCGCGCGGGCCTCGCAGCCGATGGCGTTGATGCCGGCGTCGGCGGTGACGTTGGTAGCGTCGGCGCGGGCGCCTGCGGTCGCGGCGGCGGAAGCGGCAACGTCATCATAGGCCTCGCCGTCGGCGTCTGCGCTGGCGTCGTCGCTGGCGTTGATGTCGGCGTAGGCGGGGGCATTGGGGGTGTCGGCGCTGGCGTCGCAGGACGCGGCCCCGGTGCCAGCCCGCGCATCGGCAACGATGTCGGCGTCGGCGCTGGCGTCGGCGCTGATGCTGGCGCAGGCGTTGGCGACGGCGTTGACGACGGTGGCGGCGTCGGTGCTGGGAACGGTGCCCTCTTCAGGGCCCGCGGCGCCGAGCCTGACCCAGACCATGTCCCAGACCCCATCGGCCTCTACGTCCGTCTCGGCCCCGTCCGACCCCGCGCCCCTTCTCGAGCCCTCGATGTTGCTCACGAACTCCAGCCCCTCGATGATGGCGCCTGCGCTGGTCTCGGCGCCTGCGCGGGCGCCCGCGTCAGCGTTGGCGCCGGCGCAGGCCTCGTCGCTGCCGTCGCTATCGGCGTAGGCGGTGACGTTGGCGTCGACGTCGGCGCTGGCGTCGGCGGCGGCGGCGATGGAGATGCCCTCGCGGCAGGCCTCGCAGTCCGGCAGGCGCGGAGCGGCCCGCAGCGGTGGCGGCGAGGGCTGCTGCGGCGCCCTGGCTGGGCAAGCCCCGCCGGCAGCGCGCGGCATGCGCCCGAGCTGGCCCCCGCGGCCCCGCTCCGGCAGAGGGCAGACGCACCCCACCCGCGGTGCGCCGGCTCGCCGGCGCGAAGCCGCGCCCGCGCGGGGCCCGAGACGCGCGCGTCGCGCTAAGGGCGTCAGCAAGCCGAACGGGCAGCGCGCACGCGCGAGAATGCCCGCATGTGCGGCACGGAGCCTGCGGGGCCAAGCGCGCGCGTGCGGAAGCGAGGCGTCGGCGACGCAGTCGCCGACGTTGGGGCCAGCGTCGGCGCCGGCGGCAACGCGGGCGCCGGTGCCCGTGCAGACGCCCCTGTCGGCGTCGGCGTCGGCCCCGACCCCCGCGATGGTATCGGTGCTGACGCCGGCTCTCACGGCGGCGTCGGCGCCGTCGCTGGCGTCTGCGCTGGCGTTGGTTTCGGTGTAAGCGATGACGCCGCCGTCGACGTCTGCGTTGACGCCGATGCTGGTAGCGGGGCCCGCGTCGGCGCCGAGCCGGGGCCAGTCTAAGTCCCAGACCTCGTCGTCCGTGCTGGCCGAGGCGCCGGTGTCGGAGATGGCGGTGGTGCAAGCGTCGGCGCCGGCCGCGGCGTGGGCGGTCGCGGAGGCGGCAGCGCCTGCATCGGCATCGAAGGCGTCGTCGTCGGCGCGGGCGTCGGTGCTGGCGCTGATGTTGGCGCGGGCCATGCTGGTGCCGACCTTGACGCTGGCGTCGGTGCTGGTGCCGGGTCCCACGTCGGAGCACCTGGCCCCAAGCCTGGACCAATCCACGGCCCAGACCTCGCCAGCCTCTGCGCGGGCGATGGGGAAAGCGTCGGTGCTGGCACCTGCGCTGGCAGCCGAGAAGGCGACGGCGCCCGCGCAGGCCTCGCAGCCGGTGGGCCCCGCGGCGCGGTGGTGGCGAGCCTCATCCCGCAGCTGAATCGCCTGGGGGCCCTCCTGCTTGGACGATTGCGTCCATGCAGCCGCCGCCGGGGACGCCGCCAGGGCTGCCCAGGGGCCTCCCTGGGCCTTGTGGGCCGCCGGTCGCGCCTCTGGCAGCGACGCAGCCGCCTTCGGGGCCGCCGCTGGGGCCGCCCCCGTCCCGATCGACGCCGGGCCCTTGCCGCCGTCCTCGCCGCCGCTGCACCGTGTTTTGGCTCCGGCGGCGACCCCGGCGGCTCCGGCAGGCCCTGCCTGGGGGCCCCCCCGGCCCCCTTTCTCAAGCGCGTGCGAAAGGGTGTCTGCACACGCTTGGGTTTGGCCCTTTCTGGAAGCCCTGGAGGCGGCCCCGGAGGCTTCTCCAGGCTCCCCCGGACGCCTCCCACGGTCCGCGGCGGGCCTCCCAGCCCCCCGCCCGGCGACTTCGGCGACCCCTGCAGCGGCGGCGGAAGCGAGGCCGACGGCATCAGCGGGCGTGACGAAAACGACGTCGGCGTCGGCGTGGGCGTGGGCGCGGGCGATAGGGCCAGCGCGGGCGACGGCGGAGGCGTAGGTGTCGGTGCGGTTGTCTGCGCCGGCGTCGCCCAAGTGCATGGCCCCGAGCTCCACGTCCGCGCCTGTCCACGGCCCCGTCCCCGCCCTAGGCGCTGGCCCGGCGCCCGCGCTGGCGTCGGAGGTGCCGGCGTCGGAGCCGGCGTCGGAGCCGGCGTCGGTGCTGGCGTCGGAGCCGGCGTCGGTGTTGGCGTCGGAGCTGGCGTCGGTGCTGGCGTCGGTGCCGGCGTCGGAGCCGGCGTCGGTGCTGGCGTCGAAGCGGCTGTCGGTGCCATCGGCGCCGCTGTCGGTGATGCCGTCGGCGCCCCTGCAGGTGCGGCTGCAAGCGCCGCAGTCGGGGCGGCAGCCGACGCCACTGGTGGCGCAGCCGCCGACGCGGCTGTCGGGGCCGCAGCCGCCGGAACCGCAGTAGGTGCTGCCGTCGACGCCGCCAGGGCTACTGGCGCAGCCGTCGGCCAGGCTGTCGGCGCCGCAGCTGTCGGAGCGGCAGTCGGTGCCGCCGCCGGGCCGGCCGTCGGCGCGGCCGTCGGGGCCGCCGTTGTCGGCGCGGCGGCGGGTGCTGCCGCCAACGCCGCCGACAACTCGGCCGTCGGAGCGACTATTGGGGCCGTCGGCGCCGCTGTCGGTGATGCCGTCGGCGCCGCTGCCTGCGGTGCTGGCGGCGCCGCGATCGGGGCGCCAGTCGGTGCCGCCCTCGACGCCTCTGACGGCGCAGCGGCCGGTGCGGCTGCGGGCCCCGCAGCCGTCGGAGCGGCGGTCGGTGCCGCCTGAGTGGCTGTCGGGGCCGCAGCTGTCGGAGCGGCAGTCGGTGCCGCCGTCGACGCCGCCGAGGCTGTTGGGGCAGCTGTCGGTGAGGCTGTCGGTGCCGCAGCCGTCGGAGCGGCAGTCGGTGCCGCCGTCGGCGCAGCCGTGGGCGTGGCTGCCGGGGCCGCAGCTGTCGGGGCGCCAATCGGTGCCGCCCTCGCCGCCGCTGGCGGCGCAACGGCCGGTGCGGCTGTTGGCCCCGGCGGCGCCGCCGTCGGTGATGCCATCGGCGCGGCCGTCCCTGCTGTCGGTGATGCCATCGGCGCAACCGTCGGTGCCACGGTTGGCGCGGCTGGCGCCGTCGGCGCCGACGGCGCCGCGGTAGGCGCCGCTGTAGGTGCCATTGCAGCCGCTGCCCGCCCGCCGTCGCCTCCCGATGTCGGGTCTTGGCGCGCATCGGGCCGCTTTTGAGCCACCCCCGCACGCCTCCTCCTTCGGGTCCGCCGCCGATGGGCCCGAAAAGGACGTGGTGGGTGCCCCTCGGCCGATCCAATCACAACGCAATTTATGGAGCCTGCTGTGGAAACCGGTCAGGCCCTCGAAGTTGGACTGCTGGAGCACGCTCCCGAATACCGGCGTGCCGCCAAGCTCAGGCGCGCTCCGGGATGCGAGCGCGCTGGTGGGCGACAGCGTGCCTTTCGGCACCCACGTGCTGTCGAGCACCCGCGTGCCCGTGATAGAGGGCACGGCCCCGCACCTCGCCAGGGTGCGCGCGCGATCCTCCATGTGGTCCGGAGGTATGCGACCAGTAAGGTCCTCAGCCACCGCCAGCTCCGCCGCTGGGACGTCGCCCCTAAGGCTCGTGCCCCCGCGGCTAAGCCTCGCCTGCATGACCAACGCCGGCTGGGCGGCACGGGCAGCCAGGCATCTGAACCGAGAAACGTCTGCCTCATTGTGCGTGCCCTGGTGCGCGACCACCCCCGCGGTCGCGATGTCGGCGCCGGCGGGGCCGGAGGCGCCGTCGCTGGCGCTGGGACCGGCGGCGGCGCCGGCGTAGGCGCGGGCACCAGTGCCAGCGCGGGTGCTGTTGGCGGTGTGGGCGCTGGTCCCAATGTAGACGGTCATGCCAATGTCGGCGTCGGCGCTGGTCGCTGCGCGGGTCCCGGCGTCGGCGCATGCGCCCGCGTCAGCGACGGCGCCGGCGCCGGCGTCGTCGCTGGCGTCGTTGTCGGCATAGGCGGTGACGTTGGCGTCGACGTCGGCGCCGGCGTCGGCGGTGGCGGAGGCGGAGTCGCCCTCGCGGCAGTCCTCGCAGCTCGGCAGGCGTGGAGTGGCCCACAACGGCGGCGGCGAGGGCAACTGTGACGCCCCGGCTGGGCAAGCCCCGCCGGCAGCGTGCGGCATGCGCCCGAGCTGGCTCCCACGGCCTCGCTCCGTCTGCGATGGCGCGGTGCTGACGCTGGCTCTCGCGGCGGCGTCGGCGCCGGCGCCGGCGTTGGCGGTGGCGTTGGGTTCGGCGTAGGCGGTGGCGCTGGCAGCGCCTGCATCGGCATCGAAGGCGTCGGCGTCGGCGCTGGCGTCAGTGCTGGCGCTGATGTTGGCGTGGGCCGTGATGCTGGTGCCGACCTCAACGCGGGCGTCCGTGCTGGTGCCGGGTCCCCCGTCGGAGAACCCGGCGCCAGGCCTGGGCCAATCCCCTCGGCCAATCCAATCACAACACCACAGTCCATGGAGCCTGCCGTTGAGCCCAGCCACACCCTTGAAGTTGGACTGGGGCACGCTCTCGGATACCAGAGTGCTGCAAGGCCCAAGCGCGCTTTGGGATGCGGGCGCACTGATGGGCGTCAGCGTGCCTGTCGGATCCCACGTACTGTCGAGCGCCCGCGTGCCCTTGACAGGGGGCCCGGCCCCGCGCCTCACCAGGGCGCGCGCGCAATCCTCCACGTGATCCGAAGGTATGCGAACGGTAAGGTTTCCAGCCACCGCCAACCCCGCCGCTGGGACGTCGCCCCTAAGGCTCGTACCCACGCGGCTAAGCCCCGCCGGCATGACCAACGCCGGCTGGGCGGCACGGGCAGCCACGAAGCTGAACCGCGTAGCGCCCGCCTCATGGTGCGTGCCTCGGTGTGCGACTACGCCCGCGGTCGCGTCGTCGGCATCGAAGGCGCCGTCGCTGGCGCCGGGACCGGCGGCGGCGCCGGCGTAGGCGCGGGCCCCGGTGCCAGCGCGGGCGTCGTCGGCGGCGCGGGCAGCGGTTCCAATGTAGACGGTCATGCCGATGTCGGCGTCGGTGCTGGTTTCTCCGCTGGTCTCGGCGTCGGCGTAGGCGCCGTTGGCGTCGACGTCGGCGGTGGCGGAGGCGGAGTCGCCCTCGCGGCAGTCCTCGCAGCTTGGCGGGCGCGGAGCGGCCTGCAGCGGCGGCGGCTCGGCGCCGGACCAGGCGGCGGCTCCGGCATAGGCGTCGGCGTTGGCGCCGTCGCCGGCGTTGATGTCGGCGAAGGCGGGGACGTTGGTGTCGGCGCTCGCGTCGTAGGATGCGGCCTTGGTGCCAGCCTGAGCCTCGGCATCGGTGTCGGCGTCGGCGCCGGCTTCGCCGCTGGCGCTGATGTTGGCGCAGGCGGTGACGACGGGGTCGACGACGGCGGCGGCGTCGGTGCCGGGAACGGGGCCCCCGTCGGGGCCCGCGGCACCGAGCCTGGTCCAGTCCCAGTCCCGAGCCTCGTCGGCCTCCGCGTCCGTCTTGACCCCGTCCGTCCCCGCAGCCCTCCTCGAGCCCTCGACGTCGGCGTTGGCGTCGGCGGTGGGGGAGGCGGAGTCGCCCTTGAGGTGGTCCTCGTGGCTCGGCAAGCGCGGAGCGGCCTGCCGCGGCGGCGGCGAGGGCAGCCGCGACGCTCCAGCTGGGCAAGCCCCGCCAGCAACGTACGGCACGCGCCTGAACTGGCCTCCACGGCCTCGCTCAGGCGGGGAGCAAACGCGCCCCAACCGCGCGGCGCCGGCTCGCCGGCGCGTGGCCGCGCTCGCGAAGGGCGCGAGACGCGCGCGGCGCGCTGAGCGCGACCGAAAACAGAACTGGCAGCGCGCGCGCGCGAGAGCGCCCGCGCGAGCTGCACGGAGCCTGCGGAGCCAAGCCCGTGCGTGCGGAGGCGCGGAGCAGGTGGCGCAGTCGCCGACGTTAGGGCCAGCGTCGGCGCCGGCGGCAGTGTGGGCGCCGGTGCCCGTGCAGACGTCCCTGTCGGCGTCGGCGTTGGTCCCAGCGCCTGCGCTGGTATCGGTGCCGACGCCGGCTCTCGCAGCGGCGTCGGCGCTTGCGCCGGCGTCGGCGCTGGCGTTGGTTTCGGCGTAGGCGGTAACGCCGGCAGCGCCTGCATCGGTAGCGGAGGCGTCGGCGCTAGCGTCGGTGCTGGCGCTGATGTTGGCGTAGGCCGTGATGCTGGTGCCGACCTCAGCGCAGGCGTTGGTGCTAGTGCTAGGTCCCACGTCAGGGAACCCGGCGCCATGCTTGGACCAACCCATAGCCCAGACCTCGCCGGCCACTGAGCTGGCGTGGGCGATAGCGTCGATGTCGGCGCCTGCGCCGGCAGCCGAGGAGGCGGCGGTGCCCGCGCGGCCCTCGGAGCCGATGGCGTTGATGCCGGCATCGGCGGTGATGTTGGGAGCGTTGGCGCTGGCGCCCGTGCTGGCGGCTGCGGAGGCGGCAACGTCCTCATCGGTGTCGGAGCCGGAGGTGCAGTCGTCGGCATCCAGCCCGGCGGCGGCCCCGGCGTAGGCGTCGGCCCTGGCGCCGTCGCTGTCGTTGATGCCGGCGCAGGCGGGGACGTCGGGGGCGGCGGCGCCGGTGTCGTAGGTGGGCCCGGTGCCAGCCTGAGCGTCGGCATCGATGTCGGCGTCGGCGCTGGCGTCGGCGTTGGCGCTGATGTTGGCGCCGGCGGTGACGACGGTGCCGACGACGGCGGCGGCGTCGGTGCGGGGGACGGGGCCCTCGTCGGGGCCCGCGGCGCCGAGCCTGGTCCAGTCCATGTCCCAAACCTCGTCGGCCTCCACGTCCGTCTCGGCCTCGGCCGTCTCCGCGGCCCTCCACGTGCCCGCGGTGATGCTCACGATCCCCTGCCCCCCGACGATGGTGCAGGCGGCGACATCGGTGACGAAATCGGCGGCGTCGTTGGTGCCGGAAACGGGGCCCCTGTCGGTGCCCGCGGTGCCGTGCGTGGTCCAATCCATGTCCCAAACCTCGTCGGCCTCCACGTCCGTCTCGGCCTCGGATCCGATCTCCATGAGGCCCCGCGCCTGCTCCGCGGCGGGGTGGCGGCGAGCCCCCACTAACAGTTGCTGCCCCACCTCCAGGGCCTCGTGGGCCTCGCGGGGGAACTCATCGCGTTCCAACCGCGCGACCTCCCAGGTCTCGAGCACGTCCGTCAACCGGTACTGCTTGGCCTCCGCTGGCGCCCCTCCCGCCGCCACGGCGGCTGCCCGCTCCGAGCGGCGCCTCGCGAGCGCGTCTCTGGCGCCCTCAAGGGCCAGCGCGCGCCGGCGCAGCCGTGCTTCCAGCTCGGGGCCGGCCCCGCGCCAGAGATCCGGAGCCGGGTCTGTGCCTGCGCGTGCATTGGCATCGATGCTGGTGAACGCGATGGCGTTGGTGCTGGCGCGCTGGCCGCGATCGATGTTGGCCTCGGCGCTGGTGCACCCGCGGGCGGCGGCGCCGGCATCAACGCAGGCGCCGGCGCTGGCGGTTGCGCCGGCACGGGTGCCAGCGCAGTCGCCGTCGTTGGGGTGGGCCTCATCACTGGCATAGGCACTGTGGGCAGCGCTGCCATAGGCGCTGGCGCCGGGGAGGACGCATGAGGCGCTGTCGTCAGCCCGCTCGCCCTCGCCCGCGCGTCCCCGCCCAGGCATGGCCAGGCCGCCGTCCTCGTTCAGCCCGGCTGGACCTCCCATCGCTGCCTCGCGGATGACGATCCTGTGAACGATGGTGGGGCCAGACTCGTCGTACTCGCCCCTCGTAGCCCATTCCTGCTGAGAAGCGCTCTGCGTGAGGGGGATGGTCCCGCCGATCCACATGGGGTACTTACGCTCGGGCGGTGCCGCGATCTTGATCCTCATCGTCGCGGGCGCCAGGGCGGATAGCTTCTTGTTCATGCGCTCCCCGATCCTGGCGAACAGGGTGATGCCGCCAGACGGAAGCGTGTTGGCGTAGAGGTCCCTGCGGATGTCGACGTCGCACTTCATGATGGACTGGAAGGGGGTGTTGTGGTTGCCGCTGGCTTCCCTGCCGGTGAAGCTGGACTGGAATAGCACCTCAGGGCAGCGGGCACGCTCGCTGCCCACGGTGATGATGCTGCCGCCCGGAAGCTCGTACGCCTTCTCCTCGTCCCCAACCTCGGTGGCAGCCTGCATCTCAGTGTCGCAGACGAGGGCAACGTAGCAGAGCTTCTCCGTAACGTCCGCGACCTTCATCAGGTACCCCGTGAGGTCGCGGCCGGCCAGGTCAAGGCGCAAGAGGGCGCACGGCAAGGCATAACCCTCGTAGATTGGCACCCCATACGACACATCGGCACCCGAGTCCGTCGCGATACAAGTGGCAGGGCCGGAAGCGTGCAACGAGAGCACTGCCGGGATGGCCTCGTACGTCGCGTAGAACGTGTGGTGCCAAATCTTCTCCCTATCGTCGCAACTCGTCACGATGCCGTGCTCGATTGGGTACTTCAGCGTCAGCACGCCGCGCTTGCTCTGCGCCCCGTCGCCCACGTAGCCGTCGTTCTGGCCCACCCCGACCATGATGGCCGATCCGAACGCGCCGGCGGAACCGACCGCGCCGCCCCGCCACGGTCCCCCGTCGGCTGGGGGTTGGCAGACAACCTCGGTCGGGGTGCGGGCGTCCTCCTGGAGTGCGGTCCTCCTCATCCTCCTCCGCCTCCTCGTCCTCGCTCTCGGGCGGACCTCCTCCCTCGCCGCTCTCTCGCCATCTGGCGGGCGGAAGGGGGTGGGATTGACCGCCGCGCGGCCCCCCGTCCCCGCTGGCCCAGCAGCCGGCGCCTTCGCTGCCTGCGCCTCTTCATCCTTCTCTCCTCCTACGCCGCCTACTCCTCCTCCTCCTCTGCCGTCGACCCCCTCGGTCGTCGCGAACGCGCCAGGCTCGCGCGAGGGCGGCGGGACCGCCTCCTCGGCCTCATCATCCCCGACGGCGCGTAGCTCCGCGACGAAATCCGCGGTGCTGACTCCTGCCTCGCCCCCCGCCCCTGCGGCAGCCTCGAGCTCGTCGATGCGGGCCCGGAGGTTCACGGCGCCTGTGGCCCCCAGCTCGAAGTTCGTCGTCAGGTGGTCGACGATCGCCATCAAGGTGGCGACGTGCGCGCGGCTCCTCGCCAAGGTCTCCTCGGCACATAATCTGCGCGCCCGCTCGTACTCGCATGCCTGGCTCATCCCTTGGACGAGCCTCTCGGCTATCATCTGCCGTGAAACGCGCTCTCTCCACCGTCGAGTCGCCTCCTCTTCGTAGGCCTGGCGCCACTCCTCAGCACCCACGGCGGCCCGTGACCGCTCTGCCTCCAGGGCGGTGCACCGCGACCGGGCCACGGCCAGCTTCTCCCCGGCGTCGAGCGCCTCGGTCGCCCAAAGCTGCAGGTTGGTGCCCTTCTCGGCCAGCGCAGCCTCCATGCGGCGATGTCGGCACTCGGCTCCCAACACGCAGCAGGCCAACCAACCAGCGGCCAGCCAGCCGAGGTGAAGCAAGTCGAGGCCCAGCCCGCTGCTCCCAGCGCCCCCCACGGAGCTGGCCGCCGCGCGGCTTCGCTCAGCGACGGGGAAAACCGGATCCACCGGAGACGGGGCCTCGCCAGCGCCCGAACCGTTGCTCTGGGCTGCCGGCTGGCCGGACGGTGTCAATGAAGGTCGCTCCGAAGGATCCGGCGCGGCGGGGCTACCCGTAGGTTCGCCACCGCCCCTGCGCCCAGGCCTCTGCCTCAGGGGGGTCGTCGAAGTCGTCGTAGTCGTGGCCGTCGTAGTCCTGGTCACAGCCCGCCGCGCGGACGCCCCCGTCGTCGTAGTAGTAGTCGTCGTGGCACCAGCCGGGCGCACCCCGGGGGGCTTGGCCGGCGGCCCTCGCCCCTTCCCTGCCGCGGGCGCAGGCTTGGCGGGCGCGCCACGCCCCTCGCCATGCCCACCACCGCCCGCTCCGGGCGCAGGCTTGGCGGGCGCGCCGCGCCCCTCGCCATGCCCACCACCGCCCGCTCCGGGCGCAGGCTTGGCGGGCGCGCCGCGCCCCTGGCCATGCCCACCACCGCCCGCTCCGGGCGCAGGCTTGGCGGGCGCGCCGCGCCCCTTGCCATGCCCGCCACCGCCCGCCGTCTGAAGATTCGGCCCGGGCTTGGGTAGTGCCGTCGGCGCGGGGGCCCCAACGCCCGCCGCGCGACCATAAGGCCACCAACCCATCGCCCCCTGGGCCGACCAAGTAACCATAACTGCCAAGTGCGCCATCAGGAAGCCCGCCGCCATGGCACCGCTCCGCCCCGCGCCAGCGACCCTGGGTCGCTAGCGCGAGGATGCCAGCAGTCCCCGGACTGCAGCACCGCGGTTGTGGCCGCCCCGCGGCCCCCCTGCCCACCCGAGTCCTGGCTCGAACTCGAGCCAACGACTACGGACCCAAAATGGCTATGGCAAAGCCCCCGCTTCCCTACGCTTAACCTGCAGTCTACCAACATCACAGACTATACAATCCAGGGACCTGGTTGTCGATCTACCCTGTGCTCCAGGAGCATACTCTGCGCCAGGCACTGTGCCTGGTCACCGTTGACAGAGGTCCTTTCTCCGGGGGCCGGCATGGTCCCCCTGCCCGCCCCCTCCTCATCCCGCTGTCTGGCGTCGAGAGTGCGTATGAGTCTGTCCAGGAGCCCTTCTCTGGTACTGCCCGGTGGTAACCTGCCCTGGGGGGTAGCGAAGCTTGCCCGATTGAGCATCTGCCTTATGTCCGCGTGCCAGGGAGTGGTTGTGCTTGTGGCTTCCACTGCTTCGTCCTCAACTCCAGGGCGAGCCCTGCCTTCGCTCGCGGGCCCATGGCTCCTTGGGTTTACCCTCTGCTCGGTACTGGCCAGTTGCGCTCGCAACCTCGCCCCGGCTTCTACTGCCTGTCGATCCCCTGACAGGATGGCAGTCTGAAGGAAGCCGTTGGCGCCCAGGTGCAGCATCATTCGCTCCTGGAGCTGGGGTGCAATGTAGCCGCCTACTTCTGGGGCCTCGAGCGTGGCACCTGCTGCCCTGGACGCCATGCCTGTTTCCGCCGCGAGCACGATCTGGGCATCTCTGTAGGAGCTGACGTCCCGTGCTCTCCACCAGGCTGCTGCATGGTCGATGATGTTGGTGCTGATGTTGCTACTCCTGAAGGCCAGCTCGAGCACGCTCCGACCTCTGTCGGTCGCAGTGCCCCATATGAAGGGGACCAAGATTCTGCTCCACCGCATGCCTGGGGTGACGGAGTTGCTGGCGACCCTCATCCTGATCCTCCGCACCTCATCGATGAATGCATCTCGTTGGGGGCGCTCTGCCTGGGAAAGCCCCTCCGCCAGAACTGGGGGGGTCCCTGGGGGGGTCCCATTCCTACCCCTTCCAAGTCCGTGTGGCTATCCCTGCCGTTGCGGGGGTTGTCCACGTCCATGGGGGCGCGCCCGGCACTAGGGCGCCCAGCGCGGACTTGGTCCTGGCCCCAGCTGTCTGCATCCAGTCGCCTGATGACAGCGTCTGTGACGAGGTTTCCCAGGGGGGTACCCTGTCCCATTTGGGGATGCATTGGGCGCCAGTCGGTGCGTGCGGCTGCTTGTAGTGCACCTCTCATTACTTCTGCTGCTTGAGAGTGCGGGCTATCTCGATTGTGCCACCAGCGTCTACTGAGATCAGCCTCATCTCGAGCGTCGCTTATAGCGCGATCTAGGTGATCCCCGCCGATGGTGTATCTTAGCCAGCAGAGGTCATCCAGGTGCACCACGGTGTTCGGCCCTGTGGAGACGGCTGTGGTTGTCCTGCTGGAAAGAGGGGGCCTCCGGCATGGTGGTGAGTGCGCGTCTGGGCCGCAGTGATAGAGGGGCGGAGGGGACCAGCCAACGAGCGGTCCCTGGGGGTAGGTCCTGATGACTTGCCGTAGTTGCTGGCAGACATTTAAGGCCCAGGAACCTGGCGCCGAGCAGAGTAAGGCCAGCGAGATCGCTGCTGTGCGGAGTTGCCAATCGCTCCCGACCTCCTCGAGGGCTCCTGTGTCTTCGAATGCCCAGATTTCAGGTAGGCCTGCGGCATGGGCCACCATATGTCTCCAGGCTCCCAGGAGTTCGCCAACGAGCCAGGTCGGGGTGAAGTCGGAAGGGCCAGGCTGGGTGGGGGAGTAGAGGTGCTCCGCGATTGGGCGTATCGCATGCCCGCTCTAACAAGCTGGACCAGCAGAGCAGTGTCCAGGAGTTCGAGGGCGTGCCTGTTGGGTGGCTGACTCGGGCCTGCTCCTGGGTGGTTCCGCGGTGGGTCGTCTGCTCGCGGCTCCCCTGGGTAGTAACTCCAGGGGGTGGCCAGCCTGTGGCAAGTAATGCAGATTGATTCGCCCTGTGGGATCTCGGAGCACCCAGGTGCCACAGAAATCGCATCTCTCTCCTGGGCAGAAAAAGTTACGCAGACGTAGCCGAAACGCTGTGGTGGACCATGGCCACACGTTGTCACTGCAGTCGCTCCCTTGAATGGGGACTCCAGGGATGCCCGTGGAGCTGTCGGGTATCCCCGAGAGGGCGGGCTCTATCCATGGTACTGGGCCTCTGCCTGCTTGTCGCCTCGAGCGCACGTCTTTCCCCACCCGTTCGAGGTTCCCTCTCGTGATGGCCCACTGTCTGACGTCCCCGTGGCCCGGAAAGTGGACTATGTTTTGTCTGCGCTCGTGTATTAGGACTCTGTGCGCATAGTCCATGACCTCATCATCCATGGGGTCCTGCGCCCCGTCTGCTCGGTTGGGGCCACTGCTATGCAGGGGGGCAGCGCCTTCGGGGGATCTGGTGGGCATGAGCATCCTATCTGTGTCAAAACCACTCGGGGGCCCCATGCCTATGTCGCAGTAATGCGCGGCGGTGACCATGGCAACGTACTCGAGGCGTGCCAGCTGCCTTTCCGTCACTGAGGGGTCGGCGGCGTCCAGTCTCTCCCTTCTTATGCTGGGGTCATGAGTGATGCTCGCAAAGCGGAAGGCAAGGACCTGTATTGGGCCCGGTTGAACGCCTCCCAGACGCCCTTCATAGTCTCCTCCAGCGATGGACCAGACTAACCAGGAGTGGTCCAGGATAGCGAGGATCGGGGCTGAAGTAGCTAGCTCCGAGCAACGTCCAGGGAGAGCGGCTTCTACTGGAGCCACACGCATGGGGCTGTCGGCTCGAATGCCTGGGTGGCCTGGGCGGCGCCCCCTCCACGCATGGTGCATGAGGAGCTCCAGGTTGCTGGTCGCACGAGGTGTTCTCGGCGCTCCACGGTCAGGGACCTCGCGCCAGGGACCGTCAATGCGCACTAGGTGGCGACGTAGGGCCCTCATGGTGCCCCCCCTGCCGGTGATCCTGGCGCCCGCTACGCGCGGGCCACACCTGGGTCCGTCAGCCTCCCGGCTGGCCGCCCATTGAGCGTTCGTGTGCCCAGTAGCGTCCAACCACCGAGCGTGGAGGTCAACGGCGCTCTGCCCTCTGCTTCTTAGCGCTTGGCTGGGGTCGTCATAGTCTGAGGGGGTGGGCGGGTTTTCCCTCCGCAACTCCTCCTCCAGGGCCGGGTCTGGGGATGGGTAGGATGGGGGGTCGACTAGGACAGCGCCCCCGCGCGCAGTGCGGCTCACCACGAAAGGCGAGCCGTTGTCCGACCAAAGCAGGGGCCCCCGTTCTCTGTCTTGCGTCGAGTACTCAAGCCCACGGCGGCATCCGCCAGGCGCGGCGCTAGGAAGCTCGAGCCCGGGAGGCGGATCGAGAAGGGAGAAGTCGGGAGAAGAGCTGGTGGACGAGGGGGGGAAGGCACGGGGCGATCCAGCCGCCGGGATCGGAGACCTAGCGCGATGGATCCGACCAACCAGAGGAGCGACCCCGACCGCGGGATCGGGAGCGATCCTGGCGGCACCGGGCGAACAGGGAGGCACCACGGGCCGCCCAGTCGCCGATCCCAGAGAGGGAAGATCGCGATCGATCATCTCCGTGGAGGGGGGCGTCACCCTGCGATCACTGGAATCGGGGTCCCCCGAGTCTCGTTCTCTCCCTTCTGGCGGGAGGCCCAGCTCGTCACCTGCTCCAGGGAAGCGACGGAAGGTTGCACTTTCAGCGTGGATACTGTCGACGCCCTCCCGCCCCACTTCTGCGGGGGCCGGGTCCCAGCTCCTCTCCCCAACCTGCCACCGATCCCTGGGTCGAACGCCGTGCGCTTCCCTCCGCGCGCCGTCACCCGATCCAGGGAAGCGACGGAAGGTCGCAAGTTCTGCGTGCATCGCCGGGATGAGAGCGCCCCCCCCGTCCTCCGGCGTCGCGCCTGCCGTTCTCACCTCCAGTGCATCGACTGAAGGTCGCACCGTCAGGGCGCACACTGCCGACGCCCCCCCGACCAATCCCCGTGGGGGCCAGGTCCCTGGTACTCACTCCCGCCTCCAAACGGTCCCTGGGTCGAACGCCTTG